CCTAGCCCCTTCCAGAAAGGGACAGTCCTGTCACTGGCCTTTAAAGGCTTTGTGTCCTGTTGGGTAAAAAGACCCAGAGCTCTACTTAACAGAGATACTTATTTTAGTACTTAATGTAAACAAGAGGAAGATAGAACATTTACTCAGCAGGTTTTATAATTTCAGTTTATAATACAGAGACTTTGTGGCCAATTAAGGCAGCGAGTGCAAGAAAGGGGAACGAGGAGAGATAACTGATGGGGAAATGGACAGTCAGGAGAGAGTTTCAGAGAGTACTTTGCCCTCTTTCAAAATCTTTTATGATGAAGCCTTTCAGAGCTCCAAAGTCCAGGTGGCCTTAATCAAAACTGTGATATAAGTGGCATTGTGATGAACGTATAGAAAGAAGTGGGCTTCTGCCTGCCTTGTACCTCGATGTTCTCTAAAGCTTGCTGGCTCCACACCTGGCTTGTCCATGCCATGACTAGCCATCCATGGGCCATTGTGGGGAGGAGGACAGCCCAGCTATGGTTAGAGATGTCATCTTACAGGACCAAATAAAATTGAATCAAATCCAAGACTTCGCATATGCTAGGTGAGTGCTCTACCATGGAGCTACTCCCCCTGGCCCAGTGGCTCTATTGGTAGGCTAATGTGTCTGTATTTCTAGCTGTATCTGCTAGTGGCATTGATTCTTAAGCTTTGCTGGGTGGGTGAGGTGGACTCCATCCCCTCTCAACATATACACACACACTCTTTTTATTTAAAATCAAGTGACATAGACCATACTAATACACTAAATCTAACCCAAGGAAATTGTGGAACACCTGGACTCTCTACCACCATTTTACCAAAAGTAAGACTTTCTAGGAATTCAGGCTGTTCTGACAAACTGTGCTGTCTTCCCCAGAATGAGCTATGAAACAGTAAAGGTAATTAAAGAGAAAAGTGCTTGTTAAAATACAAAATAGAAGTATCTCATTGCACCTACTTTTGACCCTGGTCAGTGCTTTGAGAGCACTGTGGTGAGATGTCTTGGCTGCCTGTGACCCTTTCTGGTCATAAGGGCAGATTATTCAACATGAAGAGCAGACTCTTCCCTCCAGTTGCTCTGTGAGGTTTGACACTGCTTAAACCAAAGAGGCCAAGTGTGGGTATTTGTGGCACAGTCACAGAACTCTGTTTTAGGTTGCCCTACAGGATAACAACTCTTTGCAATCTTTATTCATGTTTTCTAGAAAAGATGGAAGAAGTAGGTAAGGTGTGCTTTTTGTCCATGGCCCGGCATCTTAGACTGTGTTAAGCAGTCCCTGGGACAGTCCACTCTTCCTCTTTATTTTTGTTGCTTGCCTATCTCTTCTGTCACCACCCTAGCCCACGTCATAGCCATTTCTTGCCTAGAAGACACAGTGGTTTCTTTTTCTACTTCCTCTTCCTTTCTGTACCCACAGTGGCTTAGAAATGCAAACCAGACCACTGACCATCTGCTTCTTCACACTCCTGCAGAGTGATGAGGTCCAGAGCTCAGATTCTGAAGTTGGTATGACTCAGGTCCAGTCCTTCCTAGCTTGGTGACTTGGTCAACTTAATTGGCTTCTTTTTTCATCTATAAAATGGGGGGGGGGTAATAATAACGGAACCTACTGTCTAGTTGTTGTAATTTTTGTGAGGGATACTGAGGACAGAACCTGGCATGTGGGAAGTGCTGAAAAATTACTTGTTTTGTTCTTTTTGTAGCATTGGAAATCAAACCCGGGACCTCACACGTGCTAGGCAAGTGCTTTACCACTGAGCTACTTGCCCTGGCCTTCCTTGTTAGTTTTAGTCAATATAGAACCTAAGATTGGAAATATCCTTATTAGGAAATATCCTTATTAAAAGCTTAGCTTTTAATATAGACTTAATCACACCTCCAAGGCCTTTGCATGCACTAAGACCAGGTGCTGTCTCCAGCTTATTCTTTGTTAACTTCTATCTCCTTCTCTTTTTCAGCTACCCTGACTGCTTCTGCTGGTGGTGGCCCCTCTTCTTCCTTTCTTCTTCTTTGCGAGACTGGGAATTAGACCCACGGCTCTTGCACTAAGCTATATCCCCAGCCCTCCCTGAATTTTGTTGTTGTTTTGTTTTTTGGTTTCTTTTCTTTTTTTCTTTCTTTTTTTGTCTTTTTCCTTTTTTATCGGTACTGGGGATCGAACTCACGACTGCCTGCTTGTAAGGCAGGCGCTTATGCCGCTGAGCTAAATCCCCAGCCCTTGTTGTTTTGTTTTTTGAGACAGGATCTTGCCAAGTTGCCTAGGAATAACTCAAACTTGTGATCATCTTTTTCTTTTCCTTCAACATGAGAACCCACATTTGTGATCATCTTGCTTCAGCCTCCCAGAGTGCTGGGATTACAGCTGTGTGTCTCCTCACCTTATGTAACTTGATTTCTTAACACACTGTCTCTAAAGCACCAAGCTTGTTCCTTTTACGTGGCCTTTGCACAAGCTTTTCCTGGACTCTGAATATTTACTTTCTTCTCTCTTTGCCTGGATAACTTCTGCTAGTCTTTCTTATCTTAGATTAACTGACTCTTCCATGGGGAGGCCCTTTGGCCCCTGAAGTGAAAACTGATCCTCAACATTCTTCACTGTGTTCCTCCCCAGCATCTTTCAGTGTTTGCCACAGTCTGGAATTGTCTATTCTTCTGTAGGTTTATTGGGCTAAAATAATCAGGTTTCCTGCATTGGAAGCTCCTTGATATCTGTGAATAGCATGAGCAAGGCCTACACTGCCCCTCTGTGTGATGAATGGATTCTGCTGCCTTCTAACTGAGCACCTAGACCCATGCACTGTAGTGTTTATTTGCAGAGGGGCCACATACATTTCTGTATCACAGGTCAGCCATGAGTAAGGGGTTCTCACACTGTGCCAGGCTTCAAAAACGCCTGAAGGAGTTGTCAGAACACACCTTGCTGAGCCTATGCCCAGAGTTCAGATACATTGTAGGCCTGGGTAACAACCCAAGAAATTGCATTTCTAATGAGCTCCCACTATGCTTCTTGTCTGGACAGTGTACTTTGAAAATAACTGAAAAGAAAGAACAAGACAGTTATTCCAACAGTACAAAATGGCTTGCCCCATGGCCTGCTAGCCATCCAGGAAATATAGTAAAAGGTGGAGAAAAGGCACACATGTGGCCTGTAATAGGCCACTTGTGTAAGCTTGTCTTTTGTGTTCTCCCACTGAGCCTGTGCTATTTTGTGTGAGCTGGTTCTAACCCCAGAGTGGGGAAAGCTCAGAGTGGATAATGCTTTTAAGGTGCTCCTTATTAACTGTGCTGTAAAACCCAAAGCAAGGATCCCAGTGGCCTTGATGGTCACCATTGATTAAGACAGACATTACATTGATGGCAATGTGTTCCTGTAAAAATTCTTGTTAAAGGCTCTTCTTCTGTATGAGCCACATGAGAGCTCTTAGGCTTGCTGGTGGCCCTAAGGTAGGTTGTCTCCAGGTGTGTGATCCCTTTCCTTCCTATCAGCTTCTGTGACATCCTTTCTGAGTGTCAAGAGCCCTTATCCCACGTGTCATAGAGGAAGCTGGTGATGTTGCTGCATTGTGGCTTTGACCTTGGTGTGATACATATCCATCTTTGCTGCTGGCAGTGTGCCTCCAGGTAAATAGCTTTATGTCAGGTTTTCTTGTTCCGTAAAATGGGGATGGTAACATTTAAGGAAGTTTACTATGTAAGGGTAAATAGAGCCTAGAGATATAGAGGAACTGAGTTCCAATCCATGCCTTGCTAGTCTTTGCTGTTTTACAGTGAGCAAGTGATTGAGTCATTTGAGTCCTCAGCAACTTCCTTCCTGTGGGAATTAGAATGGGGCCTACCTCAAAGGGTTTTGGGGAAGGTAAAATGCTAGTGAAGACATATAGAATCGAAATAAAGCATGTATCATGCCATTGTTAATTTCTTGGTTTCAATATTATGTATTATGCTTTTATGTAAGATTGAGTTGGGGAAAGCTCATGTTCCCATCATAGTGTCCTGTAAAAACTCCCTAGGATTCCCTACTTCCTCTCTCCCTCCTTTCTTTCCTCTCAGTAACTTCATCTCTAAATGATAAATGAATCTCTGGAGGTGGGAATGTTAACTCATTGGAACGATGACAAGGTTGCTTAGATAGAAAGGTGGCTGATACTTTATGCAGGCTCACAGAGTTAGACAGTTGTGTTGCTTCTAGTTACACACGAACACCAAACATTTGGAGAAGGCTTTGCAGTTTTGCAGAGCACTTTTGTATGACCTAATTTAACCATCTGCATAATCTAGTTTGTGGAGGAGAATAAGGACTCACAGTTGAGAATAATTCTGCTCTCTTCCTTACTCTTGATGCCCTGAGCTGCATCTTGTTAGTTGTTGTTGTGACATATCTCTTTAAAAATGCTTTCAAAGATTCTAACGTCTTTCTTACAACTCTGAAAAGATGGCTCTGGAGAAGAGTGGTTCTTTAATGGCTTCTGAGTTATCTGGAGTAGGAAAATACAGGTTGTTGAGCACCACACTGCTATATTTCCTTAAAAGGGGGTGGATTTACAGCAAACAAATTAAGAAACTCATCTGCCTGACTAGTGTGGTGCTGCATCCAGTAGTGAAAGGAAGTCTCAGTTTCCCCATCTGCAGATTGTAGCCTGACTTGCATGAGGCACTTGTGTGGGATGGGGAGGAGGCAGCTGGGTGAAGCTGTCACAGGGGTTGAGGGAAAGGAAGAATGGCCCAGCATTGTGTGGACACAGCTGGCCTAACTGGTTTCCCCCAGCTCCTGAAAAATTTGTGACACTTAAGAGAGCACTGTCCCTCCCAGAGTGGTCAGCAGAAGGACCAGTGGCAGAGTGACCAGATGGGACAACGCTGCAGTAGGACAGGTGGGTTTAAATCCTGATTTTACTTCTCAGCTGTGACTGTGTGTGGTTTACTTTAACTCTGCTTCAGTTCGTCATCTGCAAATGAGATTAATGCCTGAAAGGGGTTGTGCTTAAAGTTGCTCCACTGCAGGAAATGATTGGTTCAGGGTAATATCGGCTGCTGCTCTGCTGTGATTATTAGTGTCACCTGACACTTCTGGTGGACTTCAGAGTAGGAGCTGCCATGAGTGTCCTGTGGACTTAAGCTGTTCAGCAAAGAGTATCTGCCAGCCTCAGTGTGGGAGTGAGGAGAGCTGCAGTTGTGGAACTTGGTGAGAAAGTGTGGTGGCAGGGATATATGTGGATTTTGGGGACCGTCATTAAGCGTTACCTCTGTATAAAGTTTTCAGGATCCTGTGAAGGATAGATTCCCTGCCCTGTATCAGGAAGAAATGACTATCTTTGCCTCAGTTGACTAAGCAGGGCTGGGGTGAAGTCCTATCTGCTTGCTTGTGCTTGCCCAATATCTCTTCAGGGCTGCAGGGCCTGGGCCCTGGGGGTTTGGCTGGGTTGGGGGTGTTGGGAAGGAAGTGAAGTCATTTTTCAGCTTTGTGGAGTCAGACCATGGCTTACAAGACAGATTTTTCTGATGGGAGCCTTGTTACCTGGCAACTTATTTAGCTTCTGAATGCTGGCCACTCACCCTCCAGCTCCCATCTGCAGTGGGGGGACCTGAGCCAAGAGTTCCTCTCAGTCTCCTGGGGCCCTTGTTTCTTAGAGGAGGCAGAAGTCTGGGGCCCCTGGGATGGGGGGAAGTAGAAACCTCTGGAATCTCTTTTGTTCTGACTTCCCCTTACAGAGGTTTCAAGAAGTTGCAAATTAGTCTGAAAGAGTAAAGTTTTTCCTCTCCACTGAGTGTTATTCTGTTTGAGGCTGTCTTTTATGGAGTTGTCAGTGTTTCATCTACTTCCTTGAATACCTATTTCAAATCTCTGTTTTTCCTCACAGCTTTGAGCTTTTGTTGTTGTCATTGTTAGAATGGTTTCAATCATATTGTTAAAAAGAAAAAAAACAGTATTAGTGTGTCTTCTTTTTGGAAAGATCTTGCTAGTATTAAGTGTAAAATACGTGTCATGTAAGTTTTGGAGTCTGAGGAAATGGAACAATAAAGGTGCACGTATTTCCCTTAGAGGGATGGGCTCCTCACAGCTCTTAATGTAACTTTTTGTACCCCTAGTTGTCTTTTACTAGCAGGCAGGAGATTGTCCATTGAAATGGCTCTGGCCTGGTTTGGAGAGTAGCCTTGACAATTTGACTAGGAGGAGACAGCAGGGATATGACTGAGGACAGCAAGAGAATTACTTCTTTCTGGTTGTGTTAGGGCTTTGACTGAATTAAGATCATATTTTAGTAAATGCCACAAATTGAGTTGCTATGTGTTGAGAACTTTGTGTGCATTTTCTTATTAGCTTAATGCTTTAAGGTTATCATTCCCCACATAGTAAGTACTAGGTCAACCACAATGTACATTTGCGAGTGGTATAGCAATAAAACAATATTGCCCAATGATGTCATAGTAACCTTAGGTTGTGTTAGTACACTTACATAAGAATAAAATAGCCTGCTGATGCGTTTTCAGAAGATAGCTATCTCTCTCGTTAAGTGACACATGACTACCGTAGCTGAGTGGTTAAATAATTTCCCCAAGGTCCCATAGCTAGGTTTGAATAGAACTGGACCCAGATCCCAAACGTGATTTCTACCATGCTGCATTGTTCCTTTAAGGGCACTTAATAACAGGAGGAGGAGGAGTAAGGGCAACATTTTATTGAATGCCTGCTGTGTGTAAAGCACTGTGTGCTAAGTGCTTTACCATTATCTCCTCCACCCTGTGGACCATGAGAGTAGGTATTAATGCAGTGGCAAGCAGAAACACTGAAATGACACCCAGCATTTGGAAGCAGATTTATTTACGTTGACAGGCACTGATGGGGATCATTTCCAGAATATCAGGCGCCGATCTGTGGTGGTCTAGGACTTTTATATGATGCACAGTGGGAGGTACAAAGGTGAGACAGAACAGCCTGACAATTCTTCTGATTAGCTAGTCATCAGTTACAAGGGTAGATTAATGATTATCAATCTATGAAGCTTGGTACAATAGTACAAATCAGGCATCCTATATGTTTGGTTATGCTCTCATGGTTATAAGAGTTAAAGTAATTGTGAAGCTATGAAACAGTTACAGAGCTAGGCAGTTATAAAAGAACAAAGTTTTAAAAAGTGTAAGTTCTCTTGTGTAGCTTTTCCCTTTCATTTCCCTTTCTTGTTTAGAAAAGTCATTTTTTATGTTGGGACTGTTCTTTTAATCTAAAGCTGATCAAATCTGAGAATTACTGGACCTTGTTCATTCCTGATTTTGGACTGACTTACCTCCCAGGTATCAGTTTTACCAGGTGAATTCCCATGGTTAAATTAAACAGAGCCAGAATCCAGACCCCAACATTAAATGTCAGCACATTAGGAACAGCAAATATTTTCAAAGTATAACTGATAGACCTTGGCTTTTTAGATGAGGAAGACAGTTTAAAATGAGAAGTCTGACTAATAAAACTGTATAAAGACTGAGGAAAAGAGCCTTACTGGTTGTCTTTAGCCCTCTGGGGCAACGGTCCCCAGAGTTTAAGGCAGAAAACCCAAAAGCAAAATGCCAAAATGACAGCAGCAGCAGCAGCAGGATGAAGAAGCAAGGACTGGAGTAAGCAGAATCTTGGTCAATTAAAAAAAACAAAAACAGCTAGTAGGGGGGTAGGGAAGTAAGGGTCCAGGCAGGTGCACCAGCAGGCTGCGGGTGGCAGAAGACTGAGGCAACATATACAAAAAGCAATTGTGACAGCATTGGCAGCTTGGAGATCTTGAACTGGCTTCACAAGCAGGAGAGGTGTACTTTGTGTTTGATAGTCGATACTTTTTTTGCTCAGGTGACCATAAGAAAGCCCGTTTTTAACCCCTTAGGGCAGTTGAGTCCAAGTGAGCTAGGCTTTTGTCTCAGGATTTTCCCAGTGGAAGGGGCTTAGAGGAACAACTTGCAAGCAGAGGAAGGGGTCTTTTCTGTATTGTTGACAGCGCAGAGATCTTGCCTAAAGTGTTTAGCAGTGTATCAGGCCGAAGTTTGGCCAGGTGCCTGTTTGTGCTTTCTGTGATACCTGATAGCAGTGGGGCTTGAAGTGAGGCAGCTTGACTGATATCCAGGCCCAGAGGAAGTCTTTATACCTCTGGGAGGAGAGTTTTCAGAACTTTAGGATTGTGGTTATCTGTCTCAGGCTGATGCGGGAGTCACTTTGCTTTTGGGAAACAAAGTTGAATGTGCAGGGCTAACCAAAGGTGAGGCAGGCTGACTGTGGGTGAAGGAGATGACCTTTCAGGCTTTAAGTTTGTGCCTGCTAGAAGGGGAGAGGGTCAAGAGTTCCAGTGGCCCTGGTGATGGTAACTTTGACAGAGGGAACTTTTGAAGGCAGAGTTCTGATTCATTGTCTATCAGGAAAGCCACAGTTTTGCCTCTAACTTTTTTAGTGACCACAGACTCTTGGGGGGCCCACTTTGACAGAGCTTAGTCTTTCTTATCTATGCAAGCCTGACAGGGTGCAACGTATTCCTCTGAGCTGACAGTTTTTCTCAGTCAAAATGTGAAACTCAGAGGAAATTGTTGACAGTCATCTCTGGTGGGCATTAGATGATGCCATCTGACCAAGTTAGATGTATATAAGCGAAGACTCTGGAGGTAAGGTCTCTGTGGCTGAATACAGGCAGTGACTAGCTGGAACCGGTTTAGCTGGCTGGAAGTAGATGAATTTGGAATGGGGAGTGAAGCTATAGGTGTTGGCAGCAACTGTGGCAGCTGATGAGGGTGCCAAGGTGGAATTCTCAGGAAGAAAGGCCTCTTTTTTTTTCTTTGAGATGCAGGTAGTAATTTGCTTTTATTTTTAACTCTGTAAAAGCCTATTTCCCGCAATTAAGAACCATGGATTTTAACTAATTAGTTCTCATTCTATCTACCTATGGTATATGTTGAGTACCTTTGAACAGTGGTGTAACAGACAAAGGGTGGGTGCCCAAAGAGAGAGGCCATTCAGATGCCTGCCTGACCATGCCCCTCAAGGGGACTTAGGTATGACTCAGCCAAGGATGGTGTGAGTCCTCCATTATGTCATATGTGGATTGCCTTGGAACTGCAGGTCAGGGCCCAATCAGTCATTGTGACAAGTGCTTCCCAGTCTTGGTGTACAGATGGAGCAGCCTGTTGCATTCACTGTCCATTCCACTCATTTATTCATTCAGCAGGCATTCAGATGTTAAATGTTCCAACCACGCTTCCCTTGAAGGGTGGTCTTAACTAACAGGAGTTGAGCAATCTGTTGTCCTGCTTGAAATGAGCAGAACTGACAAATTGACTAACTGGGTTTCCCCCAGGGGTCTTACTGGAATCAGACAAGCAGGCAGACACAGATAGATTGCATCCTCCTCCTTTTAGGGTCCAATGTGAGCTGCTCAAGTGGAGAGGCAGGAATTCTCTTCTGGACCTCTGAGGGGACTCAAGAAATCTCAAGAGTGTGCCTTCCCATGGGGACCTGAAAAGGTCTTTGCTGTGTCATCGAGTGTTGAAGACGTCAGCATGGTCAGTCTTCCTGGTCAACACAGCAGATAAAACGGCAAGCAGGCAGATTTATTTATATCACTGAGCATTGATTAGGATCATTTCCAGAATATCAGGCCCTCTTCTCTGGTGGTCTAGGGCTTTTACATGATGCACAAGCAAGAGATACAAAAGAGGTACAGTGGAAAAACAGAACAGCCTGACAGTTTTGGTTAGCTAGCACAATAAGATCGTTTATTAAAAGGGAGGATTAATGATCACCAGTTTATGAAGCTTGGTGCAGTGGTATAATTAAGCATCCTGTATGTGCAGTTACATCTCTTGGTTACAGGGGTCAAGAAAGTAATTGTAAAGCCATGACAGTTATGGAGCTAGACTGTTTCAAAAGAGCAAAGTTTTAAAAAGAATGATTTCTCTTGTACAGGTTTTCCTTTTCACTACTATTACAGCTATTTCACAGAAGATGAAATGAGGCTTAGAGATGTTAATTGCCTTGCAAACTGCATTGAAGTAGGATGACTTTAGTGGTCTAAGTCTCTGTTGTTGGAATAATGAGTTTAGGAGTGTGAGTAGAAGCCATAGTTTTAGTGAATTGTATATATTTTTTTAAAATTGTATAATATCTGGAGTGTTAGTTTTGTGTGAGACTCTGCATCTAGAATGCTCTTTAGAGACACT